GGCTCCCTCCTAGCAAGGAGCGACAGCCAAAATCCTTCTTTCCCTCCCGTGTTGCCCTTCGAGACTACAGATCCTCACCGACCCGAAGGTCCTGCCATGGGAGAAGTCGGGGGATATGTCACAGCAACCCCCCGGCGCGCAGGTTGCTCGCCCGCGGGATCACCCCCGCCCCAGCGTAACCCTGCGCCTCTCCCCGCGGAATGGCCGCACTTTCCCCCTACGCCTTAGCTCCCAGGCGGTGAAGGGCGAACGCAAAGGCCCCTGCGTTGCCATGACCTTACAGGTTTCCAGTGACACTGGAAGACACCCCCTCAGATCGGAAAGCAGGTTTCCAACCTCCCCAACCCCCTTCTTTCCCCCGGGTCAGTAAGAGCGACTCAAACAACTTACAGGTTAAACCACCGGAGAAGTGACACCCTTTCTCCCTCCCACCACCCGAACAGTGGTACCAAGCCTCTGATCCTGCATAAAAACACAAAGGTTATTGATCACACAGTTCAAGGTAGATTTCATATTTATTTAAATATTTATCAAGTACTCAAAAATGTATTACACTTGAGCATACAAAATGAATCCAGTTTCTAATCAGGATGATTGAAATTCTTGTATTAGACTTTTAACTTTTTTTTATTTTAATGTTCTCTGTACTGTCGAAATGGTTTGTCTCTATAGCTGAGCTTGCTCAGGGTGGGCTGAGATGGTGAGGAGGGAGGAAAAAGAAGGTTATGTTAAAAAACCATTACAGTTTGGAGTAACTATCATGCAAGCCAACTTGTCTTTGTCAGACTAAAAATCTCTGTATATTCCAGTTAAGGGTTTTTTAAAGCGAGCCTTTGTCTTGTGCTGGCCGGGAGCACTAGGGAGCACTCGGAGCAAAAACAACCCTTTTTTTTTTTTTTTTTTTTGTCTTTTTTTTTATACTTTTCCCCAAGAAATCGCCCACGTTTCTAGCTTTCACCACCCTCTCCCCCGCAAATTAAAAAAGGAAGAAAAGAGGGAGTGAAGAGAGGGAAGTCGACAGAAAATAAGGAACACTATTCGTGCAATTTCATAGCAATATCCCCATAACGTATACCTCCTGCAGCATTATTCAATCGTTTTGACAGCAGACACTGATAAATAATGGTCATACTTGACTTGTTAAGCAAAAAGCGTCCCTTTTATCAGGAGCTTATATTTAAAGTACAGGTCACTTCAACAATCTCAACAACGAGGCTTTGGTATACAGCACTTTCTTTTTTATTATTTTTAAAAAATAATAGAACTCAGCAAAAAGCCTGAGCTCCCAGTTTTTTAGATGTCTTAACGTTATGTCAGATCATGCCTAGAGTAATATTACTTTTAAGGGCAAGGGACGGGGGGACGGGGACAAGAGAGTTTCTAACGTTATCGATTGAAAGCTAAGGCATCCAAATAGCCCTGATATAGTTGTTGAAACGTAAATTTACAAGCTGGTCGTTAATACTTGCAATAAAATATCACACTCCTTTTATTCACTAACGACCTGCTTTGCATGCAATATTTTATTTCAGGTATTTTAGCTGCTAACTTGTAAATATTTAAAAGAGGGAACTTTGTTCATTATTTAATATTATTATTATTATTTTCTCTATTCTGAACGCTTATTTAGTGAAATAGTCCTGAAGATATAATAATTCTACATATGGCGCTTTTAGTTCACATAATATTTAAGAAAAAAAAAAAGAAGACAAAATCCACATAGTATTAGACATATAATTCAAAGACCACGGTACAACCTTTCCTTTTTTTTTTTTTCTTTTACTTCAGCAAACAAAAATAGTCAAATGACATGAAAAGTGGCAAGTCTTCCGATAATAAATAATAAATTACTTTATAATTTTGCAATGCAAGAGCAAACAAAAAGGTTATTTTTTTCGGTTTTCCTTTTCATTTTCCTTTTTTTTTTTTTTTTTTTTTTTTGACTAGCTTTATTTTCCAGTTAATGCAAATTAGTTTCTTTGCTTCTCCACTTGATGTTTTAACCTATGTAGATACACGTCTTTGGGGGAGGGGAAGGTTCTTGGACGGACACATTTCAAACACAATCCCGAGACGCTTTGTGGCAAAATAGAGGTATAACTTGTTGCAATGTTTTTATAAATTGGTTTTTAAAGAGGAATTCAAAAACCTATTTTTAAATCGCTTCAGACTTGATAAAGAGAGTGGATCTCAACCAAACAAAACCAAAACCCCGCTACAGTACATGCTAGAAGAGACCCAGGAAATATCCCCATATTAAGAGTCAACTAAAAACAACATTGCAAACCAATGCAGCTCCACCTTCCTGCAATGAATCTTTCAACAATTCAGGGCTACATCGTCTCTTTCCTGATGATGGAAAACCTACTGGAGCTCCTTTTGGCAAGGCAATCACCAATATAGAAACAGCACCGTTCGGATTGGAAGGGACTGGATAGAAGGTCCCTCTGCCTTGGTTTCTTCCTAAGATGTGCAGTCAAATGAACAGATAAATTTTTTTTTCACTTTTCTTTGTTTTGTTTTCTTTTTGTGAGCCACGAGTTCGAATCCTTTACGTTTTGAAAACGTCTTTTCGATCCTCCTCTGATCATTGAATAGCGCGTAGTTTGTTGATGGGTTTCCTTTTCATTCTTTTTCTTTTTTTTTTTTTTTTTTTTAAGTATTCTGATAAGATCCCATGATTGTCTTCACAGTGTTGCTACCATATTACCTTGTCTTTTCAAACATGACTCCGTTCATTTGATGGAGCAGTTCCTTGCTAGGTTCATTACAGGGTTGTTAAATACTTTTCCCCCCTAAATTTCGGAGTCCCAGCACGATCACTTTCCCACTCTCTCCAACAGGGGTGAGGGTAAGGGCAGAAACAACAACAACAGAAATCTGAATGAATGTTCCTCATGCCTCAATAGGACTGGCTACCATGCTGTTGGGTGTATCTGGAAGCTGAGAGGACATTGATGCTACTTCACTTCCAGTAGAATTGGAACCGGGTCCTCCTTCTGAAAAATTAACCTGACAAAAAAAAAAAAAAAAAAAAAAAAAAAAAAAAAAATAAATAAGAAAAGGACGTCTTGTTACAAGTGTAACAATCAACGATGAGTACCAGGCAAAGGCAAAGAAGAACGCAAAAATAAATACACAGACATGCAGCCGAACGGCCTGACACATCTCCACAGGAGGCTGGGTCAGAGTTTGTTGCTTTGTTTAGCTTCCCCATTGACTTCACAGGAATTTTCTTCAGGCCTTTGGCCAAATCAATGGAAAAAAAAAGCAGGTTAAAAAATAATAATAAAAGATAAATATAGAAGACTGAAAAATCAAGCAAGCAAACAAACAAACTTATTAATGAGGCCTTCTTCCCTGTCTTGCAAGAGTGGCAATCCCAACAGGATGTTCTAGTAAATTATTTAAGAGTGCATGTGTTTTTTTGACATGAAACTTCAAGGTTACTTTTTTCCTCTTTTGTGCACATACTAAAATAAATCTAGAAGGAGCATCCAGGAGCAGAAGGCATTTGAAACAAGCCATCCTCTTTCATTTGTGATTCGGAACGGGTGTTATCTCTTTTTAATGAGAGTCCGTTTGATAAAGAAGGTCACACTTCTCCGTCCTAACGTGCCCCGCGGCTCCCGTAGGTTTGGGAGCAGCGATGGGTATAGGCATGATTTGAAGGGCGGAGGTTTACTAATGCAAAAGTATTTCATTGGCACCTATTTAGCTGGCCGATCCTGTGATTAAGGCCTTCTCCAGATTAGACACGTGCTTTCAATGGTCGATGAACTGTCTGCTCCATCCACTGTTCTATTTTTTTAACTCTTTTCAGTATCGGACATTATGTTATATATATCAGTCTTGATCTGTCTGTCTAAAGATCTGTCTACCTATACGTGTGTGTGTATTTGGGCTATCTATCTTCTGTCCTTGCCCGTCCCCCCTCTTTTTTTTTTTTTAGAACTACTCCATAAAAAAACTCACTCCACCAGAAGTTTTTAAGGTCACCTATTCTGTTAAGGAACAATATGTAAGGCAGCCGAAGGAGATGATTTTTTTCTTGTGTCTGCTTGACAGCTTGACTAAAGCAGAAAAACCGGTGGTTGCTCTAGAGGTAAGATGATGCAAACAACCCTGATGCTGTGCTAAAACTTCCCGGGAGAGCACGGTGTGGCAGGGGAGAGAAGCAGGCTGCAGCCCGCCACCGGGAAAAAGAAAAGCGATCCTGCAAGAGGGAGTGGCACAGAAGGTCTGAAAACAACCCTAGACGTGGCTACAAGCCTACATCTTCCATTGCTTCATGTCAGAAAAATGCCCAGCAGATCGAAAAATGGTCTATATGTTAATTTTTTATCATTAGCTTTTGGGGTTTGAATCACTGAAAAACATACCTTATTATTTTAAAGATCCAGGTTTAACACGTTTAGGCCAAGAAACTGAATTAAGACTGAACTTCTGTCCTTAATTCACTTTATTGGGCCTAAGTATTAGATTATATGGTCCCTTATAAGCTGCCAAGTGACGTAGACATGAGGAAGTGAGTTAAGAACAGAATTTATTCTAAGAGGTCTGTTTTCTTTCGGCTTAAGGAAGTTTATTATATTGTTTGAATTTTTCACCTGAATATGTACTAACAGTTCCCTTTCCAAACAACATTTAATGTAAGCTATATGTATGTATATGTTTTGTGCATATATATGTATATATAGCTATATGAAGTTATATCTAGAGGTATCTGCTTAAAACAAGGACTTCAAAACTTTAAGCTATTCGTGTTTGTGCGAAAAGAACAGCGGCACAGGCTGACATTTCAATCATCTATTTAAAATCTACCCTACCTCAGAAAGGCAAAATTGGTTCGAAGGGGGAGGGGTGAGTTTTAGAAAAGGCTTTCACAAGTGTGCATACAGTTGACAAGTGAAGAATATTTTAGTTCTCTGGATCTCTCAGTTTTCAGGGGTGTGCGAGCTGAGTTAAGTGTCAGACCTGGGTCAGGCCTGATCCATCTCTCTCTCACCTCAGCAAGAGCCCTGCTGTGCCCTAAGCTAGGTTTCACACCAAGACCTGTGAAATCAATCCAGTTCGCCACGTTTACAGAATGTCGTCATGCTCACCTTGCAATTTCAGGAAAACCCGGCTAGTCTGGATGGCTCATCTCTCTGAGGGCATCCGGTACCTTTAGGGAATCCCCCATTGCTCTGCCCCGGGTACCGGCTGGCCTGCTCCGGCTGGGAACCGACACTTACTAGTTGCTGAAAAGCAGGTTGGTCTATGTCACTCTGCAATGCGAAGTCGCTCAGTACTTTCCAGGGCGGCTGGTAACTCTGCACCTCCACCGGGTTCGCCTGTAAACCACCGTCATGTCTCTCCGGACTTGCAGCCACCATCGGAGTTCCTGTCATCCCCTGGATATTCTGTAAACAGCCCAGCAAAAGATGTTAATGAGCTTGGTTAACTTTATTGTATATAAGCGCTGAGTCAATAAACTGCTTTCTATCTTATCTATACAGTTGCTTGTATTTGCTTTGTTAATCTGCTGTGAATGTCTTACTCTATTCTGCTCTAGGTCAGCCTACTTCTACCCGCTGCATTTGTCACGGTGGAAGTTTACTTTTTTCCCCTTTAATCCTCCTATTTCTCTCAAGGCATGCTCCCTCCACCCCAAGCTTTCTTAAACACTAGCGCTATCTTGGCTGCCGATGCACAAGAAACGGTTAATCATGCTGCCTTTCTATTTCGCATCCAGGCGGGTTTTGTTTTGCGTGACCTTAACTGTATCGTATAACCACGGGACGGCAAACCTGGGGTACGTCTAACCAAAACAAAAAAAAAAAAAAAAAAAAAAAAAAAAAAAAAAAAGAAACCCCAGCCCTCCCAGTACGCCCTGTGGTGCAAGCACTGTGTACAAAATAACTCAAAGCCTCGACGAATAGATTGTTCGGGCGAGTTAATAACATCGTGTTTTATTGCATTCCAACAGGGTAAAATGAAACTCCTTAAATTCCACTTAAATAGGCAGCCTTATGAATTAATAGTCATTCTCAGGTCAGTCAATATACACAGGGAGAAAAACAGACTCTTCTTCAAGTGGATTAACAACAAGGAGGGGAGAGGGGGGAGGAAGAAAGAAAAAAGTTGGCTTAAAATGGAGAGAGCCAGTTTGCTCTGCTGTACCCAGCGCTTTCCGCTTGTTTGCACCAGATGTGCATATGTCCGCAGACAAGAACTCAATATATTTCTTCACGATGACTATATATAGTTTAAGTAACCTGTAAACACGACGGTGATTCCAAAAACTTTGCATTGCATTTGCCTTTTTCTACAGTAAGTGCATTGACAAACACACACATGCACATTGTAGTATGTAAAGTGCTAAGAAAATACATCAAATTTCCCTTTTACTCATGGGTTTTACTTCTGGGTTTACTCCTGCGTAAAACCATTGAAGAGGGCGAAAGCATCATTTTCCCCTCGAGGACTGCTTTGCATTTGCAATATAAATATTACACAAGGCTGGGCTTATTATATCCCATAAACTCTGCAGGTCGCAATTCATGCTGCAGAGAAGTTACTCTAATCCGCTGCGTATCCTTAGCCCCACAAAAAGACATGCGTTCGCTTGAGCAGCCTATACCGGCTTCTCGCTGTGGTCTGTTTTAATTGCACTGACGACAGAAACAAGCGGATGATAGTTAAGTAGTATCATTTTCTTTGTTTTAAGGGAGCTCCCGCAAAATCAAAAGCGTCAGACCGACCCTGGAGGCTGGCCGGGCTGGACACAGCCCAGGTGTTTCTCGTTGGGAAGGGAGACAATGCACGACCAGAAGCTGAAGCCACTTACAGTTTTGTCATTGGGTTGCTGCTGCTGAAGTTGCTTCATCATAATGCTCCTTTTTTTGTCCTTGCACCGTTTGTTTTGAAACCAAACCCTGATGACCCTCGGGCTGAGGCCAGTCATTTCTACCAGTTGCTCCTTCATGAGGGCGTCAGGTCTGGGGTTGGCAGCGTAGCAGGTCCTCAAGGTGTGAAGCTGTTTTTCATTAAGGACAGTCCGGACTCGGGTGGTCTTCTCGGGCTGCTTGTGGACGTGGGGTCGCAGAGCTGGCTGTCTGGCAGAGATAGGTTCTGCTGTAAGGGAAGGGGAAGGGAGGAACAGGATCCCCATGAGTAGGAAGCAGGGAGTCTGCAGAGGCTATGAATCTAAGCTGGTGGGACAGGGGGAGGCGAGATAGTGGAGGGGTGTGTGGTGAACCCTCTTTTCAGAAGGCCGCTCAAGCAGCCAGATCTATCGGAGCTCCTGCAGCCTCCTCTGCTTTGTGCGCCGGTGGAGTGACAGGAATGACATTTCTGACTCCACAGATAATTAATTTGCAAAAACAAACCACCCCCCTAAAACCCTTAATGACAGAAGCTTGAACCTGTGTGAGACTTGACAGGAGAGGGCGAGTTCGCCAAGGTGTGCGTGCGCTAGGGAAGGAGGGGGAGGGTTTATGTATTTATTTCCTGACAAATCACCAGAACAGATTATTGGCCCTAAAATTAATGAAAGAATACTTCTTATATTAATCATATTTTGGGTCTGCTTCTTGCATACAGAACCTAGCTCAGTTTAGCCAAAGGCTGCGATAACATGCAAGAGCTCCCGGCACTTCGATGCTTTCAAATCGAAGCAGAACAAGCCAAATCCACTGCATCATGACCTTGGAGGAAAATCCTGTGAGAGCCCAATATCCCAGAGGCTGGAAGACGGGATCTGTCTTAGAAAGTGGAGGTGCTAGATGAATTTATGTCAACTTTTGGTAAATACTTGAAAAAATAGGAATGTTTCGACAATTCTTTAAAAGGGGAGCAAGTTTAAAAACTTATGGAAATCACCAAGAAGTGCAAACCTACGGTTATTTACACCAAGAACCGAAAGTATTCGTGTGATTCTGATATTCTTATGTGTATTGTGTAGCTGCGGTTATGTAGATGTAATATGAACACACACACCTCCCAAAATTCTGGTTAGCTAATATTCAGAAGTGTTCGGTTTTGTACAGGCGGGTTCCGACTTCTTTGACTAAAACAATAAATTAGCAAATGCTGATAAAGACGATATGAAGCTTCAGATCTTAGCAGTGTTGTACCTGCCGACACAGTATGCCTTTCGGAGACGCACAAACATGCTGTAGGGAGCATGCACCATCTCTATACAATTCTGCCATGATCAGCTACGGGATTAGTTCTCTCTGTATATAGATATGTCACCTGAAAGGGGCTCAGAAGCGGGAAAGGAGCCCATTTAAACATAGCTGTGTTTGTAAACAACTTTTCGAGTTACAGCTACTTGCACAGCAGTAATTCAGGCCACCCTAGTTTACCCCAGAGGCGTGCCCCTTCCTAAAGCTAAGCGTCTCTGAGTATCTGATGTGCTTATCGAGAACTAAAAATGTAAGTAAAGTTGTAAGGTGGGGCGACTGTGAACTTACAATGCCGAGTTTTAAGATGAAATTCTCATCAAATCACATAAAACATTTCAAGAAGGCAGAGTCACTTTAAAAGGCAATTACCGAAGATTAGCTTGTTGACAGTTTTAAATTACAGCCTAAGTGCTCGCCTGTAGTTATGAAGTCTATCTCTCCTCGGACCTCGCTTCCTCGGGTGCTTAGTTCCACGCTCCGGAGGCAGAGACCTCATTGCCACAGACTTGCCCCCTGCAGCGGCTCGTCCCTCTCCGGCTTAGGCCACCGGGCTGTCCCGGGATGGGGTGGGAGCCA